TTCCAACCCTCATTAGTCCTAAACATAAAACTTAACAAATAAGGCTCATGAACAAAGGAACAAATTGAGTTCATAACTATAATTAGTGAGTTAGGGCTCAATCAATTTATGCCTTTTATCTAGTCTATGAAATTCTTTTTCATGTAATTCTAAAATTTTATGCTTCTATAGATATTAACATTTAATTAAAAAACTAACTGATATGTTATAAATATTCATAGAAAGACCATTAAATGAGTATTAACTAGTACTAAGTTAAGGCAATATGCTTACTGCTCTACAAAAAAGTTGTCAAATTATAAATTTATTTTTATATATTCTCCATTATTATAAATTTGGATAAAATAAGACCAAGAATATATGATGGAACTTTTTTGTTGAACTATAAAGCAGAATTAAAATAAATGACAAAAAACGTTTCCTTTACTATGTTATTATCTATACCAGAAAGAAATGAGTAAAAAAAATATTATTTTTATCAACGCAATAGATATTTTATTCCAAATAATTTTGTTTCTACAATTCAAAAATTAATTTATTAAAAAAATCAAAAAAAAAAAAAAAAAAAAAAAAATTAAAACTCACCCTATTAATTTTTCTAAAAAGTAACTACAAATTTTATTTAAAATGTCTGAAAACGAATTTACTATCAAAGTTTAAATTTGAAAATATATTTCATGATAAACTAAACTTACCATTTGTATTATATATTCAAAGTTTAAATTTGAAAATATATTTCATGATAAACTAAATTTACCATTTGTATTATATAATATAATTTGTATTAGGTTTTAGGTAGAAAAAAAAAGTAAAATTTGTTATGTAGCATTATGTATGTCAATGTAATGAAATGATTATGTCTGAGACAAGTACTTGCAATTTTCCTATCTGGTTTCTAGCATCTTCTTTTCACATTCTATTTGATCTGAAGAGACAAGAACCAGTTGCAAGTTTGATGCAGCAGCCTTGGTACATTCATAAAATGAGTTGGCGTTTGTAACAATTGCTTTACCTGCTAGCACTCTGGACTAAACAATGCATTTTACTGTTCCTCTTACCCCATCAACTGCCTCTTTTCCGTGGCTGGTAGGGAAAAAATTTTAAATTAGATTTTTTAACATGTGCTCCGCCTTCATAAAGATAAAATTTATAAACAAAAACTTATATTTGAACTGGAAAGCTGCTCTATCTGAGAAGAAGTTTAATTCTCGACACTGGGATGACTTGTTTTGATGCAATTAAGAATAGTTCTGAGAAATCTTAAATTGTTTTTCACTTGGTCCTTGATCAAATCTTTGCATCTATGCATCTATGCATCTAAATCAACCAAAATCTATGCATCAAATCTTCATACTAGTTTTAGTTTTCTCTGTACTCTTTGCACATCTGAGCAATAGATTTTGCCATCTAAAACGTTTGTATATACCAAAGTATCAAGTTAGTTTCACTGCATTATGCACTTTTACAATTAGTTTCAAATACTGTTAAAATTTGTTCAAAAAAAAACTCAAATTTAAGCTGATATTAAAATGCTAACCTATTTGCTTCGAAGTGAATTTAAGTGATTTGTAAACCAGAAATTGAAAATTTGTTTCAAAGTAAATTTAAGTGAACTGTAAATAAAGTTTAAGTTCTTTAGAATTTTAATTTTGTTTATTAAATCTCCTTGTTTACATAGAATATTAAACAACAGAATAGTTAAACATATTACTATAGAAATAAATTAATTAAATTCAACTATATATAAATTTTTAATAACGATGATAATATTACCAATAAAAATAAGATAAATAGAAATGAAAGAAAATAAATTGATGATGACGATAAATAAAAATTCGAGAAAATCCTTGTCAATAACAATAATAATATTAACAATGAAGTTAAGATAAATACAGACAAGTAAAAGAAAATAAATCGATGATGACAATAAATCAGCCATCTACCTTTCATTTTATTCCAAATTTATTGGGGTTCGTTAAAATATATTTTTGGATATCATGTTGACATTTTAATGGAATTACCAATAGATTAAAAAAAATAGATTACTAAAAGTAATTTTTTCTAAGCTTTTATTTTTGTCCTTAAAAAGAACATTGGTTCACTTAATTATACAGTTATAAATATATTAACAGAAAAAAATAAATAATTGAAAAATAACCAAAAGCTGACCATCATTACTGACTTCCAAGCATATTTTAAGTTGCTACTGAAATTAAAAGCTTATGTTTGTGATGATATTTAAAAATAAAACAAAAAATCTCTAATTAAGTTCAAAAAAAAAAGTGGTAATTTAGTGCAAGTGTATAAGTTTGCTAACTATATAAATAATATCTAAATGAACAGAATAACTTCTAGCCAACATGACAGAGTGGAAAATAATTATTGTTATAACAAAGTAGAAACATTTATAACAAAATTTATAGACATTTGTTTTGATAAAAAGTAAAAAAAAGTAAAATTAAAAGAGACACAATGAAACTATTAAAATAATGTTCCAAAACCAAAAATAGATGTATTTTGTAAATAATACTAAACATTAATAAATTAATACAGCTTTCAAATGATAATTATTTTATCTCATTAATTAAATAAAAAATTACAATCAAAATTTTTTAAACACGAGTTTTGATTTTAATTATCCCATTAGAAGCTCCTAAAATATTTGACACAATATAATAAATTATTTTAGTTTTAAACTTTTACATAAACGGGGCTGACTTATTTGTGATAAGTACATATAGATAAAAAAATCCGTAAAAGCTATAGCTATAATATTTATCTAATATATATCTAATATATATAAATATATAAATAGCAAACTAAATTATCAATAGCTTTAAAATGTAAAAATAAGGGTTAATTTAATGTTTGTTTAAACGTGATAACTTATTTTGGAAAAGACAATCTTTTCAGAAATGTATTGTTAAAAAAAATATTTATTAGCTAATAAGATAAACACAAGATGCAATCTAAACACAAGATTTTAAACTAAACATAAGCTAAAAAAAATATATAAAATACAACTTACGTATAAGATGCAAGCAGAAGAATATATGGGATTGAACAAACTATTAAAAGATGTCGCCAGTTTGGTATTAGCCATGCCTGTAATCCTATAGTAGATTGTGCAAAAGTATATGCAAGTGATATTGTTGTGCATGCCAAGCTACGATATTTTGGACCAACTAGTTCAGCTGTTAATGAAAATATGGGTAGAAAAATTCCACCTTGTAGTAAACCCATCAAAAGTCGCAAAGCAAAAAAAATCCAAAAGTTATTAACAAATGCACATGCAAAGGAGGATAAAACAACCACTATCCAGCATGGAAAAAGAATTCGCTTCCTTCCATATCTGTAAAAATAAATATAACAAAATTTAGTTGTGTAAATTATTTAAATACTTGTTTTAAATAATGCCTGAAAAAAAATTATATATACTAGTGTTATGACATTTTTTCAGCTATATTAACACACCAGGACACAGATCCAAAATAGGTTTGAACTTTCTACAAAGGATGTATAGGTACCTAAAGACTAAAGTTTGCAAAAGATGCATAGGTACCTTTTATTTTTTTAATTTTAATTCACCTCCTCAAGGCCGAGAAGGCCACTACAGACGAGGAGGCTACTTATTTGTGGCTATAACCCTCTCTCAACTCTATAACTCCGAAACACGAACCTTGACGAACAAAGCCGCTGCGCGGAGAAACGAGTTGAGCGCGGTACTACCAGGGACGTGGTGGGGATCGAACTCGGAACCACTCGTTTATGAAGCGAGCGCTCTACCACTACACCACTACCGTTTTTGCAAAAAAAGCTTATAGGTACCTATTTTTCTTTATTTGTAACCATGTTACTTTTACCTCTCAACTTGGTGAGGTAACAAATAGTAACATGGTTACAAATTGTAGCCCACCTAAAGCACTACAAATAACATAGCAATATGTAGCATGTTTTAAGTAGCAGTTTATTTTATTGTGGTTGGTTTTTTTTTGTATACTAAGTTTGTATTATTGTTTTTTAAATCCCAAAATAGGCAAAAAAAAATCTGGTAAGAATCAAATTTCATGAACGAAAATTCTTGAATCTGTTCGCTTTAGATTTCTTGACGCTATTAAGTACTGTTATAAATTAGATACAATCAGTTTCATGGTTACATTTTTTTACTTATAAGTAAACTATGACAGCCTTTGACCACTCTCCCTCCCCACCTTCACAAGTTGGGAGGGTTGCGAGGTGAGGAATCCGCCTTACAGACGATTACCTTCTTCTCCTCACTTTCACTAGTTGTGAAGGTGGGGAGGTGGGGGATTCACCTTATAGAAATTCCAGGAGTTAACTAAGAGTTAGGACGTTTTGACAAAACGTCCTAACTTTTTGGTGACTAACCCCTTTTCCCCTTGCGCCTTACAGCGTGACGTAATTTATAAACAACTCCGAATCATGTTTTACCTTAACCAACTGAAATATCTTGAGAAATCTTTTTTTTACGCTTGTATCCCCTATAAAAATTTTAAATTACTTTACTTCTAAAATTGGTTGTCACTGGTAACAAGGTTACACTTATTTACTTGTACTAAATAAACTTTATTAAGTAATAAGTGTTTGTTTATCTTTTTCATATTGCTATTTATTATGTTTTACTTCATGTCATCAACGTTCAAAAGTTTGTTTTACTTGGTTTCAAAAATTAAAAAAACTTTTCAAAATAAATATTTTTCTTAAGTGTAGACCTAACATACCCCTATAACATTTTACTAGTTTCGCTACGTATCAATTGGTTAGAATTAATAACATAGTTTAATTAAATAAACTTGATTTATTTGTTTATCATGGTCGTATTGCAAGTTACCATCAAAAAATAAATAAAGTTTCAATTCGCAACGTTATGTCTCAATTGGCTTTTTTTTTTAATTTAAAAGTGTACCCAATTAAGACGTAAGGTAACACATAAAAAGGTGCAATTTAAATGTCTCAAAAACAATTTTTTTTTACGTTACGTTACGTCTCAATAGGTTATACTTTTAAAAGTTTCAAAAAAACAAATTTTAGCCTTTAGGTATCTATACATCCTTTGTAGAAAGAGCTCAGGCTGGGTTTAAAACAAGTTCAAACCTATTTTGGATCTGTGCCCTGGTGTGTTAATATAGCTGAACTATGACGTAACGTAAAAAAAAGGCCTAAATAAAATATTTATTAATACAGATTTTTTGTTACGTTATGGTACGTCTTAATTGGTTATACTTTTATTAGTTTAAAAAAAAGGTAATGTAATGTAAAAAATTGATATAACAGCTGTTAGAATATGCGCATTAGACCGCAACCCAAGCTAGAATTAAATAATTTTGAAACAATATATTTTGAAACAATATGTTTTTTATAACAATATATTTTGTGTTACAGATGTTACAAAAACACAGGTCATTCCAAATAGTGATTCACTATTAAAATAAATAAGATAAAAAATAATAATAACAATAATAATGATATGTAATAAGTAAAACAATAAAAAAAAGTAGGTTTTAAAAGGAAGTTAAGTTAAATAAGTTAACATAATATTAACTGATAAAAGTAAAATTGCATAAAAACTTATATAATTATACCAAATATGTATATAAAGATATATCAGTTAATATAATGTAGATTTATATATGCATATATACTTAAACAAGAATTATAATAAAATAAGTAAGTAATAATGAAAATAATTATTTAAAATAAAATATTAAAAATAAAAATATAGTTAAACAATAAACTATAACAAAAATAAAAAAATAACCCAAAAGGTAGAAGATAAAAAATTAAAAAGTAAAAATAAGCGTAACCTTTAAGGTAAAAATGATGGAGTGACTTTAAAAACAGATTTTTTAACCTAATGACGAGACCTGATTTTAGGGTGCTCGGAAGGGAGTTCCGAGAAAGGATACACTGGTATGTAATGGAATTAATTCCATGTTGACTTGTCTGTTTTAGTGGGAGAGTTATGTTGTTATAAATGACTGATCTTAGGTTATGCCCACATGCTGTTCTATTATTTAAGTAGTTGTAAAATATAGTAGAAAGGACACCATGTTGTTTATCCCAGACAAATAAATTAAGAACTAAATTAAGTCATAGAAATGAAAAATTTTGGATGTAAGGTATAGGATCTCAGTAGGAAAATTTTTCGGACAAAAATGAATAATCCGTACCGCTCTATTTTAAAGTGAAACAACTCTAGAGAGACATACGGTTTTAGATTGTCCCAAACTTGACATGCGTATCGTATATGTGAACCAAAAATTGAGTGATAAATATGGACAACAATGTTTCAAAGTTAACATAATGTCGAACTTTTGCTAACATGCCGTTGGAACGGCTTAACTTCAGACTAAGGTCGGATATATGAGTTTTGAATGAAAGTTTTTTATCTAACACAACACCAAGATAAGTTATGTTACTAGACAAGTACATTTTTTGACTACTTAATCGAAAGTTCAAGTATTTTGGAATATTTTAGATAGTTTTTTTAGATAAGTATTTCGAGTCTTAAATAAAATTATTTTTGATTTTTTAGTATTCAATGAGATTTTTTTGCTCTAAGCCATTGAGCAAGAGTGGCCATATCCTGATTAATATATTTTTTAGGTTTTTTGATAGAGTTTGTTATTAATTGAAGATTAGTATCATCAGCAAAATGATACGTTTTTGAATGTTTAATAAAAAGATTGAGATCATCAATATAGATAATAAAGAGAAAAGGACCTAATATGGATCCCTGAGATATATTAATTGAAACGTTTTTAATATCTGAGCTGGTTCCATTTATAGTTACAAACTATTGGCAATCAAAAAGGTATGATTTGAACAACTGCAAGGGTATGCCCCGTACACCATAATAGTTGAGCTTTAAGAGAAGAATTTCATGGTTTACGGTGTCAAAAGCTTTTTGCAAATCAATAAAAACCCCACAAGCAAAGTTGCCATTATCAAGAGCAATTCTTATACTTTCAGTAATTTCAATAAGAGCGTGAGCTGTTGAATACTTTTTACGAAAACCAAACTGGTGTTTATATAAGACTGATTTTGGTTTAGAAAGTTGTATAGTTTCTTATGCATAACTTTTCAAAATATTTTGCTTACATTAGAAAGAAGATATATCGGACGATAGTTAGTGTAGTCAATTGTAGATTCTTTTTTGTGAATCGGAATAATTTGAGCTAGTTTAAAGGCATCGGGAAGTGTTCCTTTGCAAAATTAATTGTTTAAAATGATACTAATTGGTTTACATAGAGTTCCTGATACCAGTTAAAAAAGTTTTGTTAGAAGACTATTTGGTCTAACACTCCTCCCTTCTGTAATAGTGGAATTTATATAATATTGAGTTTCCTCTTTCGTTATTGGTAGCATATATATATTGGTAGCATAGATTACGTTTTTGCAAAACTTTTAAAAGTGTTACTTTTTAAGACGTAACGTAATGTAAAAAAAAAAAAAATGTGTTTGTGACGTATTCAAATTACATATTTTAAATACGAGAAACCGCAGTTAATAACTTTTTCAATGTCTTCAAAACACTTATATTATTTCAAAATTTTTAGTTGTGGTTTCTCATTTTGTAAAAAAGATGAACATCGATGTCTTAAATATACGACATATATGTCTTAAATTTTTAAATCCTTTTCTAAAAAGAACTAGGTAGAATGTAAAACGTAAACTTGCTATTGCTAATAAATTAACAATGAAAAATTACGTTTTTTGTTAAACGTTTTTATGTATACATAAATTTATTTAATTATATATTTATTTATATAGATATATGTTAATATCAAAATCGTACAGAACCACACGTTATAGTGTTCCGCCTCGTAAAGTTAAAAATTTTAATTTTTGTCACACACATTTGATACGAAACAGTTACGTAAAAATATTACGTATTAATACGTAAAGTGCATACGTTACGTCTCGTTACGTAAACATGTTACGTAGAAGTAACGTTTCGTTACGTCTCGTAAAATTAATACGTAACGCTACGTATGATTAGCACGTATTTTAACCTGGTTTCGATACGTAACGAAACTTTTAAAATGTTATAGGGGAAACTGTAATGTTACGCCTAAATTGTACATAAAATGTAGGGGAGAGTGGGGTTGGATGTCGCGCTGTTTGGTTGTCACAAAAGTTTTTACAAAAAATCTAGATAGGGTTTGGAATTTTTAAACATTATCTATAAAAAATTATCATGCATTTCACACGCTTTCAGGTAAATTTGCAGGTCTCTCTTTATTAATAGAAAGAGTAACTTGTAACAAAGTAACAAAATAAATGCTGATGGCTGTCACGTTTGCCCCGACAGCGCGCGTTGTTTTTTTT